AACTATTAAATCTTACAAATATTCTCGTAATCTTCTTTTACATTTTTAGGTTTTATATTATTTTGCATACATTTACTTTCTACACCCCGTAAAATAATTTATGTACCATTTAGTAAAGACCTTTTTGCCCCTAGGCCAAAAATACAATTGAAATCTAAGTTTCTCCTAAACTCTTTTCCCTAGGAATTGAACCAACGTCCATTCAATCCTAAACATCATACCTACCAACAAACCAAAACATCTCATTGGTAATATCACACACACAGAAATCACCAAATTAATAGCATACCAATCATGTGCTGCACTTTATCAATAATAACATCAAATAATTAACATAACAATTATAACTCTAAGAAACACCTAAACGTTAAACATCAATTACCAACGGATTACCGACAACGAAATTATCGACTAATTATTGATCGTCGATAGACCGTCGGTAATGATCAACTACCGACAAAATTTGGTCGTTTTTTCGAAAGATTGTGTTTGTTGATAATTCCAATTTTTTTTTCTCTTAGGAGGATGTGTTCTCGAAACTGCAATTAAACAGTGGAGGAGGAGTAGTTTTCGACAATTTACAATGGATAACTTGCCGCCTTCAAAACTTCACAAAAATAACTAATCAAAATGAACAAAAATCACAACCAAGACAACATATGAACATGCATTTGAGCAAAATGAAGCAAAACAACTTTGGTCATCAACATACACGTCGCCATAGATGTTGGTTTGCCTAGAAAGAGAAAGTGCGAAGAAACATCACAAAAATGGCATCATGCTAAGTTTTTTAATGTTTTAAAATCATTTCATGTAGGATAAATGGGAACCAATTAACGTCATTAGCGTTGGATACAAGGGGGCCAACATCAGATCATCAATATAACATTAGTGACGTTATCAATCAAACTTGTCATTTTATTTACCAAAAATGCTATTGATCATTTTTTATGTTGATTCTTTCTTGGACAAATATTACATTGGTGACGTTATAACCTTTTTGTTTATTAGTGCTTCCATTGAAATTTCTTACCATTATTATTTTCATGAAAAAAATTACTTCGACACACTCATACACTCATTTAACACATTATGTTTTACCTTTTTTATTACCAAAATAATGTCAAATGAATGTAATTATATTAACCTACTATTACCCTTATTTTAAATAACTATACCTTTTTTTTTCTCTTCTCACTATTTTCACTTGTTCAAATTTTTCCTCTTTCCCTCTCCTTCCCCATAATTATGTTACTTCTTTCGTGAGTGCTCTTATTTTTTGCTTTGATCATTATGCCCTTTCTTAGCAATGCTTTTTCTATTGTAAAAATCATTTACCATTACAACTATGTTTATCTTTTAGCGAAAAGCATATACTTACATGCAGAGTAAACATATAAAATGTAGTGTCCATCATTTTAAGACATACTTAAACAAACTTCTTCATAAAAGTTTAAAAAATATAAAAAGTAAAATAAAATGAAAATCAAAAACAAAAATTATGACCTACACATGTAGAAGTTTCTTGGTTTTCCATGGATTCCATTGAGGTCAATTTCAGCATATGCAAAGCCATACAAAAGACAAAGAAAGTGTCTACGTTGTTTTATTAATTTCCTCCTTTGCATGGTCCATGCCCCCTATGATAGATGGCCATGCTTGCTACCGGTACGTAGTTTCTTGAAAGATGGCACAACCCTGACCTCATTGCCACGTGCATCACTACATAATTAAGATCGTGAAAACCATATTCAACTAACTTTGTATAGAGTTAGTGTTTTCTTGGGCTATGACACTACTAAGTATACATCTGCATGTTTCAGGGCTTAGTTTCATGGCTATTTTTTTCGATTGCGTTGGTTTCAACCTATCACCTCTTTGAATTTCTATCTTATCAAGTTAATTAAGCATTTAATCCTTCTAATCTGGAGTCTGCACTTGATAAAGATTAATTATGAAACATATATACCAGACATGCGTAGATATGAACATGATGGGTTACTTTCCAAAATTTAAGATACCGAAACATTATGGATGAATGCACTTTATATTTTTATATTTTTTTAATGGATAAATGTTAGTTGTTAGTTTGGTTAGTAAGAGAATTAAACTCACAATCTTTCTCATCTTTTTTTCAAACTTTTCAAATTAACCTTATATCTTTTAAATGTTAATGGAGGGAGTTGAAGCCACAACCTTTCTCATCCTTCTTTCCAACTTTATATTTTTATATATATAATCATTACAAATAAAAACACATACAATATTGCCACAGAAATTGCAATTCCAAGGTAACCACAATTTGAAACCTTACTCGATCGATAAGAAACTTATGCTACTAAGCCAGTCATTCACATACATTGATCAATCACCATTTTCCATTCCTTTTGGATTGTCCCTAGCATATTACATCATAACCACCATTTTCATCCTCGTGATCGAAATATAGAGACAAAGAAAAGAGCCAAAATTTTAAAATATCCTTCTTCTATCAGGTGTAAATAATAGGAGGTATCTTGTCCTTGGCTGTGTCTTCCAGTGACACATAACAATCTCACCATTATTCTACTTCTGGGTGACAAGACACCATGTGAGGTTTTATAACTGTAGCTGGCATAACATTTCACCGAACGTGTACAAGGAAATTTTATTCATACATCTTCATTCTGCCCTGATTGACACTTTGCCGATGAGTTGAACTTACGTGGCTATGATTTCCACATTTCAGATGCTGATGATAAGGACCCCTTATCCCATTCTATCAGCTAATTCATTGTTCTTTTCCTTCTCTCAGTTAGCATTCACATTGTGTTTTCTTATATAGCTATAAACATCAGAATGTTGTACTTAAACTTGATAAAAATTAACTGTTTTCTTAAAAAGTAAATAAGTCTTGTGGATTATATATGCACCGTGTTGTGTAGTCTCATGTTTTTGTTTTCCTTTTTTAGATTACACCAAACATGTAACAAATTACTTATTGCGTTCCGTCGTATTCTGCATATAAGTAACAGTTGTAACAAAGTTCTTCAGATTTGACATAGAAAAAGGCCATATCATTTATGGTAAGCTTAAAATATATGAAAAGATTATAAATTATGGGTGTTATTTGAACAATTTGTTTAAGCATATCTGCAATAAGCAAAAGGCGTGTGTATCTATATGAGGAATGTGCAGTGAAATGATTAGATTGAATACACTGATTATGAAGATTGTCAAAGTACTTGGATTCTGTGTAACTAACTGCTAAGATGAAGCCAAGCACATGACAACATATTACGTGTGCAGGGGCTAGCTTGCTTTACGCAGTATATGGGACCTCCCTGCGTATATGCATGTTCAGTTCTTTTCAAATTTAGTTTTGCCACTTTGTGAAATTGAATAGAGTTCAAACAAATTTACCCATGTGAGTTCTTGGTCGCTTATGCTTAATATTTGGGACCACTTTCATGTGCCAACTTGCAGCGATGGCTCACTCCCTTTTCCATCTTCAGAATCTGAAATTGGCTACTCATAATCACTTTGTGGTCAACAAATTTTGGCTACAATGATTCTTAACAAACTATATATGCTTCTTCTTGTTACATAGCCATTTCCTTGAGCATTTTAAGTCCTCGTTGTGAGAAGATTACTCAGAAAACTAAATGGCATGGCATAAATAAGCTTAGAAAAGGCTTCACTATAATAATTTTTCTGACCATGTCGTGTATATTTGAAGTTGCAGGTTGTATTATTGCGTCCCAGTGGCAATGCCTGATAACCAAACAATCTTTATTAGTTTCAATATTGACCTTTCAGCTTTGCTAACATGGTTCTTACATAACAAATACTCAAACATGCTAGTTACATGTTTCCATGAGCTTTTTAAGTTTGGGTAGTTAGATGTCAGAACAGAAAACAGATAGTTATCTTTTTATCAGTTACAACTAGTTACTTTTCCATGGATGTTTGGTTTCTTGTAATCATGTTAAAATACCTACTAAATGATGTTTAGAAAAACAAAATTATTGGTTTAGTTGCACATTAAATATTTGATTTTATTAGGTCTTTAAACGAAGATTCATCCAGAAATGACATATAGATCCAATAACGAATTAAGATTATTTTCAACTTAAAACTTTAAAATTATATAAATTTTCTTCATTATATATGTTGTTTAACTTTTTTAATTTTATTTTGAGACTTTTAACTCATACTTAAATTTGAACACGTTTTAATTCAAAATTAATTTTGAAATTTGATTTCCATCAAAACTGAATTTTTAATTGAAACAATTTAGGTAGCTTTTGCATAACTTAAAACGTTATACCCCAAGTGTTAGTTTCACTTTAAAAATTTGATTTGAACCAAAATAGATTTTGAAAATTGAAATAATTGGGGTAGTTTTTGCTGTTGATAATATACACCAAGTTTAACAGTTAACTTCCTTCTAAAGTAACATATTTAAACACAAATCAAATACTTTCGGATTAAAAATTTGATTACGGGTAGAAAATTAATTTTTGAATTGAAACAATTTTTTCTTTTGTCCAAAATAATAAAATCCATACCAAATTCCACTTTTAACCTGCTTTTCTTTGTAACAAAAATCAATTCTATTAAAGACTTATTAAAAAACACAACATAGATTATAACCTGATTCTCATATTTAGGTGGATTGCACTTAAGTTTTTCTCCCTTCCCTCCAAAACGCAAATTCTGGGGTATGAAAGGCTGTGCACGCGTGAAATTAAATGGCATTCATTAAATGCTCAATAAGCCAATTGAGACACGTCAAGGATTCTAATATCTGTACCATGACTCTAGTTGAATAGTATTCAACTACATCAACAACAAAAAATCAGTTAAGACAGTACTTGGAACAAAAATGGCAGCTTAATATGGAGAATCACTCACAAGTCAAAACCAAGGGAACAGTAAAAATAGCAGAAGCTTCTCATTAGTAATGGAATGATAAAACATGGCAAATGCAAAACTTTTGCACCTTTCAGCACAGGCACTCACAACAACTCTTAGCATTTAAAGAAGGATTGTGGAAGTAATGAGGAATTGAAGTTTTTCTTAGCAGTAACTTAGAGGATATAAAGTCATCATGTCTACTAAAACTCAAGTTACAGTGTGCTATAATTCAACATTATTGACCATGATATATCATCTATGACAAACACATCTGTAGTGGTATGGGCTATTAATTGGGTCATTTCCCTCTACTGGAACTTGCTCGGCTCTGCATTTATACTTACAACCTCTACACTCATTGTACGTACAAGTTGGTGCTGTGGATCCAATCATCAGTCTCCCAGAAATCCTCATTTTCCATGCCTCATTGCCATCCTAAGATTCCACATATTCAATGCAAGAATTTAGCTGCAAATGGAAAATCAACCAAGAAATTCAAAAGGGTAATCCATATTTGGCTCACCTCCAAACTTGGCACTCTTTGGGGTTCAGAGGATTGAGGTAACAACTCTTCTGTTTTAATTCCTGAATCAGCAGTGACAAATTTAGGATACACCAAAAAGTACATTCTCTAGAAACTTGTGGCAATAAAGTTCATGAACATGAAGAAACTGTGTCAGCCTGGATTGCTTATTACTCTTCAAAGTTGAATTCAAAACACGCAAGAATTAAAACATCAGTAGCACCTGACAACTGAGAAAAGTGATTTTCTTTAAAATCCTGAGGAACTCTACATGAAGAAAACTATTAATAGAAGTACCACAGTCAGAAGAACCAAGATAAAAGTATAGAGAATGTAGTAGAAAGCATGGTGAGAGGTAAAAGGCAGGTGAGTGAGTGTGTGAGTGAGTGATGAGAAATGAAAATTGATGTAGAAGAGTGTGACATGACTATGACCTTGCGTGAATTTAGCTGCAAGAATTAAGGTGAAGAGTAGCAAGAGTACTTCAGGTAGTTTGGTGTCTCCCATTGTGGCCTTTTGGTGTTGTAATAATAACAATGAAGGGGATATGAGTGATGATGGTGAATATATATGAAGGGGTAAATGAATGAGTTTGTGGAAAAAAGATAAAGATGGAGGGGAAGGAGAGAGATAACTGTGTTTGTGGTGAATTAATGACCATAAGAGATAGACTGGCAAATTGTGCAGTGAGACAGAGGAGCATGATCAAGAGGTACAGAATGCTACCCACAGTGGCTAACTAATGGTGGAATTCTAGACCCAACCAGAATTACAAGAGTGCCCATATCCTAGTTAACCTGGCCATAGTGAAGATAGTGAAAGGTTTGACCTTTTGCCGAGGCAAAAGTGGTGTTTCCATGCAAAGAATCATTTGGAATGGCCATAGCAATGTAAAGACATGTCGACTACCCAACGTGCATCCAGGGTTCTCTGTTTTGGATGTGCCTTCAGATTCCAAAGAAAAGATCTTCAATAAATGTACAAAATCATATGGACGACAATTCTTTCTAACTTCAGACTCCCATTTAATGTGGTCGATAGGGGTGTGTTGTGTGTGTAAGTTGACGTTGTCATGTTTTCAACATTAAAAATCAAATGCTCAATTCTCAATAAACCAACACTCATTAAGTTCGCTTGAAATACTTGTGTTTTCTTAGGAAATGATGGTTCTGAATTTTTCTTGTTACATCATAATTTTCTGTACTGACTTTCAGAAATCTGAAGAAACTTCTTCGTTTTACTAGTTACAGTAAAAGAAGTACAATTTTGAGACTCAGCTTCAACTAAAATTACAGCCTAAAATATTCCTTGCACCTAGCAGTTTTACAGGACAAAAGTATCAACTATTTCTCAGTCTCTTTTTACTGTGGACTACAGCTTCTTTTTTTCTAGGATCTTCGAGGAAATTTCTGTCAATAGAAGGTAGTAAAATCATTATCATCAATTGGAGCCATTTCCAAGTATGTGTTCTAAACAATCCACACTTTTTCTTTTGGACTGTTATCCACGTGTTTCTTAGCATCTTAGATTAAAATGCTCAACCTTGAGTTGTTGGCTTGTTGCACTGAGTTTTGGATGAGCAGGAAAACAGTGAATCTAAAGTTAAAACTACACTTTTTTTCTCTCCCTTGTCTTTTTTCTTACAACATTATTACTTGATGAAATGGAAATTTTTTAACTTGGTGCTGTTTCCTTCTCTCATTGAATTGGTATTTAGGGAAACTTCAAGTGAAATAATGCCGATCATGCTATTGTTGCTGAATGTGTTGTAAAAAGTTGATAGAATCACGAACAAATTTCTTGAGGTTTGTACTTTTACTGTCTTTAAGGATTTAACCGCGGTGTATTGCGTAGGTGTTCCACATACAACAAGAACTTCCCAGAATATTTCTAAGGATATGAGAACTAGCAAGGATCTCTCAAAAGCGTATAAAAATAACCCAGAATATTTTTAGAAGAGGAAAAGAGCTAAAGAATGAAACTAAGAAGAGAAGAGAATGAGAAATACTGAATTTGGTGTGTCTTGAAACGGGGAAGAGCTCTCTATTTATAGAGCTAGGAAAGAATAAAATAAATAAAAGAAATTAAAAGCAATAATTATTTTAACGTTGTAGCACTTAAAACATTTTTATCGTTGGTCTTAAATTAACGTTGCTCCTCTTTAAAAAAATTAATGTTGCCAACTAATAAAAAATTATTAATGTTCTAAAACTTCCAAAGCCAACGTTCATAATTAACTTTTGCAATATAATAACAAAATATTATAACAATCCCCCATATATTGCAAAAGAGAGTTGAAAGAAAAATAAGAAACTTTTCTTCTGGGTCTCATGGGATATAATGCATCAGAGCTGGTATAGCAAGCTATATAAACCAGTCTTAGATTGAGATACTTAACACACAATGTAGTTGGTATAGCAAGCTATATGAACCAAAGACATTTGACGTGTGTTAAAGGTTTATCAATCACAATACACCCCCACAATCCTTGTTGTTATCGTTGTGTTGCGCTTACTAGGCCATGTGCGTTCTCGATATTCATGAGTGCTCTAGAGATAATGCCAAGATCTCATGCAAGCCGCCCCACTTGACACTCATATAGGTGATTTCATTAAGTGTATGCTACAAATCATACACCACCCATAAGGGATATGAAAATCATTAAAAACTTTGTTTAAACTAAAATTCTTTCACCACATAGAATTTTAATGACAAAGTTTAGCCTCTCCATAATGCAGTCTCTAGCACTTTCGCATACCATAGGAATGGACATAATTGATTAAAATCAATTTAGTGCTATCAGAACTAACAAGTGACTTGTTTTTACCCATATGAACCTTATTCATGGGATCTCCAATCACAAAGGTTGGGTTACCATCACTTGTTTGTTTGCAAGTGGCTTAAGTCTCATTCCCCTCGATGTTTCTAATATCATTTGTCTTCCTAGGGGTTTTGTCAGAGGATCAGCTAGATTCCGTTCTGACTTCACATAACCAATGGAAATAGTTCCACTCTTTAGCAGTTGCTTCACCAAATTGTGTCTCAATTGTATATGTTTATTCTTTCCATATTGTATGTTTATTCTCTCCATTGTAATTCTTGTTTTTAGCGATAGCTATTGTCGATTGGCAATCACAGTGTATTGATACCGATGGGGTTTGTTTCATTCCTAGTAGAATGTTCGCTAAGAAATTTTTCAACCACTCAGCCTCATTACCGGCCATCTCAAGAGTAACAAACTCGTATTCCATTGTTGATCTTGCAATAATTGTTTGCCCGGGAAATCCAGTATATTCAATGGCATAATCCATTGAACCTCTTAAGTATCTCATAAGCCTAGCAAGATGATATGATCATAAATGGGGCAACAATGAAGAGTTTTCAAAGTGACAATAAGCATAAAAAAGAGTAGAATAGGTTTCATTGGCTTGTATTTGCCTCTTTTGTTCTTTCGTTATTTCTAGTTGTAGAGAAGCTTATAAACTCGTCTTTTCTTTATAGTACAAGTAACATGGGACTTCACATAGCTTGGACCTAAAGAAAAAGAAGAATAAATAGGCTTTCTCCTTTTGTTGTTTGTAGTGCAAGTAAACATGCATAGTTTGTATTTTTTAGTTTCTAGACTTGCTAGGAAGCTTATAAACCCTTTAGGAATGAAAGAATTAAGAGATGTGGGACTAAGAGCACTTGAAAACGTGGTTGTCCAAACTTGGAAGCATTCCAAGTCCCATATCCCTTGAAACTCTCTAATTGCTTCATCCTATATATAAGAAGCCTAGGGGTCTCCTTTTGTACACACCTTTGATTGAATGAATATAAGAGTGATTTGCATTCATTTGCTTATCTTCTTTGAGATAGAATTCTATCTCTAAGTCATCTTTTGGGTCTTATCTTGTGAGAAACAAGTGGCGATCCAACCTTGACACTTATCTTGGATCATTTCAAGTGGCGTGTCCTCAAGTTCATAAGTTCTCTCTTCCTTATCTCTTCCATTTTAAATCTTTTCAATTGTCATTTCTTAATTGTCTTTAGAACATTTCTCTCTAATCATGCTATTCCCCATCATAAGTGCATCCCAATGTTCTTGATTTGGACATTGAGTGTACCTACTCAGTCTACCTACTGCATAAGCAATATCAGGTCTAGAAAGGCTCGTCAAGTGCAGTAAGCTCCCAATTATTTGGGCATACTAAGGCTGAGATAATGATTCTCCTCTATTTTTCATTAATTTAGAATTAACATCATAAGGGGTACTTACTGGTTTTAGGTCGTAAAAACTAAAACTTCTTAAAAAGTTTCTCAATGTATTGTTATTGAGATAGTAATATACTATCTTCCTTCCTTATGATTCTAATACCTAAAATCACATTGGCTTCATCCATGTCTTTCATTTCAAATTTTGATCCTAGAAACAATTTAGTTCTAGCGACAATCTTATTGCATGTACCAAATATTAACATGTCATCAACATACAAACATATAATGACACAATCATCATTTTCAAACTTAGAGTACACACATTTATCAACATCATTAGGTGAAAAACCATCACAAAGAAACACATTATCAAGTTTTTCATATCATTGTTATGGTGCTTGTTTCAACCCATACAAGGATTTTAAGAGTTTACATACTTTATCCTCTTGACCAGGTACAACACACCCTTTAGGTTGAGTCATATAAATTTCTTCCTCTAAATCACCATTCAAAAAGGCTGTTTTAACATCCATCTTATGTATCACCAGTTTATGGATAGCTGCTAGAGCTAACAACACTCGGATAGAGGCAATCCTAGTCATAGGAGAAAAAGTATCAAAGTAATCTATGTTGGGTTTTTGAGTAAAGCCTTTTGCTACTAATCTTGCCTTATATTTCTCTATGGATCCATTAGGGTGATATTTTTTCTTAAAGATCCACTTACAACCAATGAGTTTTGCTCCTTTAGGCAAATCTACTAAAGTCTAAGTATTGTTTTTCTGAACTGATTCAATTTCAATCCTAATGGCCTTATCCCACTATTTTGCATCAGGAGCACTAGTAACTTCTACAAAACTTGTTGGATCATTATCAACAAGATAAGTATAAAAATCATCTCCAAAAAGAAGTTTTCTTTCTCTGTCTTTTACTTCTTCTCAAATCCTCATTCATGGTATCACTATTATTATTATCATCAACAGGTTGAGACATATCACTAACCTTTAAGGGAAACACATGTTCAAAAAACTCAGCATTTTTCGTCTCCATTATAGAATTTCTCTCAAGTATGTTACTTTTAACAACTAGAAACCTATAAGCAGCACTATGTTCAGCATAACCTAAGAACATACAATCAGAGGTTTTAGAGCCTATTTTCCTTTTCTTAGGATCGAGTAACATCACCTTAGCTAAGCACCCCCATACTCTTAGATATTTAAGGTTAGGTTGGTAACATCTACTTCTGCTTTATAGGTTAAAAACACATCAAAGACTTCATCTTTATGTTTGATTAATTAAACTTTGGTGTATCTAGAATAATCATCTATAAAGGTCACAAAATAATTTTTACCTCCTCTAGACATGGTTTGTTTCAAATCAGCTAGATCAGTATGAATTAACTCTAACAATTTAGTTTGGCGTTCTACAGAAAAACATGTTTTCTTTGTTAATTTAGATTCTACACATATATCACATTTACTACTCTGTTTATCATGCATATTAATCAATCATAGTCGTTGTAA